CATTGAGCCATTGACCCCTACTCTCTGGGTGCGATCATCCAGCCAATTTCTTATCCACTGATCAGTCCACCCATCAAACCCTTATCTCTCCAACTTAGAAAGGAGGATGTTATGGGGAACAGTGTCAAAGGCCTTGGTGAAGTCAAGATAGATGATGTCCACAGTTCTTCCCTTGTCCACTAATGCAATTACTTCATTGTAGAAAGCCACCAGATTGGTCAGGCAGGTTAAGCCCTAATGACTCTCTTGAATCACCTTCCTGTCCTCCATGTGCCTTAGCATTTCTTCCAGGAGGATCTGCTCCATGATCTTCCCAGGCACAGAGGTGAGGCTGACAGGGCGGTAGTTCCCAGGGTCTTCCTTTTTACCCTTTTTTTAAAAAAAAAAGGTCTCAACTCAGCCATGCTGCTCTCTTTCCTTCCCTACCTGATCTCCTACAGCTGGCAATTGTAAGTTCCTGTGCTCTATGATAGATATCCTTAAAGTTCTGCCATCTCAGCTCCGCTCCTTCAAATTCTGAAGAGATGTTCTGTTTGAGAAGAACCATGTAAGGAAAAAAAACCAGATTTATTCAGAAAATTGAGTGTTACTGACCATTATTAAGACTACTAAACACAATAGATGACAACTCTTAAACTCCTGAAAGGACTTCAGACCAGATGAACTGCTATGTGTTCTGCAGTTGTTCAGTGAACGGGGTTGGGGCAATCCCTGATCTGGTGAGACCCCACCTGGAGTCCAGTTCTGGAGTCCTCAGCACAAGAAAGACTCAGACCTGTGGGAGCAGGTCCAGAGGAGGGCTACAAAAATGATCAAGAGGGATGGAACACCTCTGCTGTGAAGAAAGGCTGAGAGTGTTGGGGTTGTTCAGCCTGGAGAAGAGAGGGCTATAGAGAGACCTTATTGTGGCCTTTCAGTACTTAAAGATGACCTATAAGAAAGATGGGGACAATCATTTTAGCAGGTAATTTTTTTAAAGTAAAAGAGGGTAGATTTAGACTAGATACAAAGAAGAAATTCTTACAAAGAGGGTGTTGAAACACTGGCACAGGTTGCCCAGAGAGGTGATTGAAGCCCCATCCCTGGAACCATTCCAGGTCAGGTTGGATGGGGCTTTGAGAAACCTCCTCTAGTAGAAGATGTCCCTGCTGACTTCAGGGAGGTTGGACTAGATGAGTTGTAAAGGTCTCTTCTAACCCGAAGCAATCTATGACACTTAGCAAGTTGTGGCTTTAAGGCAGGACTAGAAAAACATAAGAGCCCTCATTATTGGTGGTGGTGTTTGGTTCTTTTGTTTGTGATTTTGGATTTTTTTTTTTTTTTTCTGGTGTGGTTGTGGTTTTTTTTAAAGTAAGCCATCTAGTTGGCAGGGATGAGGAAGAAAATTGTGTTGGAAGTTCTGTCATTCTCCATACCCTTTTGCTTTGCTGGAAAGATACAAAATCGCTTGAACTGTATCAGCAATTTCTATACTAGATTAATGTTACAGTCTGCATGATAGGTACAACAGGACACTGGATTTTCACAGAGATATGCAATTCTGGCTGATATCACACCAGCTTCAGAAGGTCTGCCTGAAGAAAATGTGAAAAATAAACATAGATTTTTGGAGATTCAGGGGAAAGGATTTTTTTTTTTTTTTCCCAAAGATTAAAATATGTCCTCAAGATATGATTTCTAAAAACATCTCAAGCTTTTATTATGTCCTTGTCAGGATTGAGTACAGACTTTCCGAAAAGTTGCTGTTAGAGCTCCTGGACTTTAGAAGGAGTAGACTTACTGAAAGCAAAATAAATTAGATAGTGTTATAAACAACATAATTGCCTGTGATAATCAGTAAACATTAGAGAGATGCTTAGGAATCTACCTCAAACAGCTCACATCTTTATTTATTCCAAACAGGATGAATTAAACCGAGCTGACTCAGAAGTGGAAAACAGTAAAAGCTCTTTGCAGCACTATGAGAACAAACACGCAGAACATTTAGCGTTGATAAAAAGGCATAAAGAGTTACTAGCTGCCAAAGAAAAAGAATTAGAGGTAAGTGTGGGTTTTTTTCTTATTGAAGTCAGATGGTTATGATCCTTCTAATATTTAGTAATAAATCATTCCACTTGTAGAACATACAGAACGTTCATACTTGGCTACACTGAGTATTCTCTCAGCTGTGTCTTAAATGGACTATCTAAAGCAAGTAAAAGTAACTTTGTGTACTTGAATCAAGGCCTCTTTTCAGCTGACAGACTGGCAATCCTTTCTTGACAGGTAAGTTAGGGGCTAGCCATCTAGGACTATTTCTTCTGAGTTTTGCAATGAAAACATTAAAAAGACTTAAGCTTAGAATTTGTTATATGTTAAATTGAATAATATTGTTGGTGTTTTGGGTGCTAGATTTTGCCTTGTAGAGACATTGTACCTGATCTTTTTAAGATTTATCTTATTAACTTACTTTGAAATTGCATCCTTCAAGACTTTTGGAAGACTGTCCCATTTAAATGTAGTGGTTTTAGTTCCTTATTTATCTGTATTATCTAAATAACTGGGCATACTAAATGTCTAAAATGGATACAGTTCCTAGCACTGAAATAACCACCCCCATATAAATGTTGTTAGTAAAATTGTTAATGATAACTAGGTTTACTGTGATAAATACACAAAGAACGATACCAAAAAAACATTAGTTTTGCTTGGAGACCTTGTTTTCCTGTAGCACAAAATACTCATGAAGGCTAAACATATTTTTTAAAACTGAAACGATTACCTGAGTTTCAACCATTATTACTTCAGGAGAAGACAGCACAGGCGAGGCAGATCTGCTCGGAGCGCGTGGAGGTCAGCAGGACTGTGAAGAGCCTTGATGCAGAAATGAATCGCCTGAGAGAGAAGATAAATTCAGAAAGCCATCGCCATGGAAACAGAGAAGAAATAATACAGTAAGTCACCTTTAGTGCCTAAAGCAGTTCAGGTAAGATGGAAGAGATAGGGGAAAGAAGAGCTTTCTCACTGAGTCACAATGCATGTATATGTGTTTTTAGTACTTGAAGCACATATATAGGTATGGAAACATGCTGTGCTGACTGCTCAGTCAACCAGTACTGAGCAGATTTAGAAGTGTTGAAACACCCTCTAGTGATTTTAGACTGTTTCTGTACTATGTATGTCTGAAGTTACCAATAATAAGATACCTTCTCAGTGTTGAGATGTATCCCAGTTGTGGCTATGCAGCATGAACGTAACTCACCATTGTTCTGTGATGCAGTGAGCAGTAAGCATACTTCAGTTTGAGTAACTAATGCAGAAGTTAGGCAATTATTTGATGTTTTGACTGCAGTGTATTTCAAGCAACCACTTACTTTGGATATTCTTGGATCACTGCTCATGGCAGAGGGGTTAGAACTGGGTGATCCTTGTGGTCCCTTCCAACCCTGACAGATTCTGATCTGTTTTAGCAGAGGACTTAGTAGTGTTGGCTTAGTGGTTGGACTTGATGATCTTAAAGGTCTCTTCCAACCTAAAGGATTCTATGATTCATTCTCCTTGGTGTAGGAGTTTCCTTTCAATACAATGAAAAATAAAAGTAAAATTTAATTTTATTAATTAAAACTTTTTCATTTGAATGTTTTGATTATCAAATTGATTTTCAGCGTTTACAGCAACAGCTCAGTTTTATTGTAACGCATGTTGATCTTAGACTTTCTGTTAATTAAAACAGGCAATTTCATGATGCAAAGGAAAGATATAAAGATGCAAACAGTAAAGTAAAGCATTTAAAGAAATTTATTAGGCTGCTGGAAGAAATAATGGCACAGAGATTCAAAATGTATCGGCAGTTCTTAAGGTGAGTTAATTTTTCTGTAATTTCAGGTTTCAGATAAACTAACATGTAGATGTAAGTATCTGCCCATATTCCAGGGTGAAAATTATAGAGCAGACCTATGAGAATGAGAACTTTAAGGCAGTATTCATAGCAGTCTTTCTAACCTCAGATTCTAACCTCAACTCAATCCCAGATCCAATACTATTGGGCCTGACAGTTTAGAGGCAGACTGGACTGACAGCTGGAAAAACAACATGACTGGTGGAGGCTGTATTTTGCTTGCCACCAAAGGTCTCAACTATGCTGATTTACTCCAAGGCAGGTCTGTTTCAGTGTTTTACTGCTGGTTTTGGTCAGTAAAATATCAGCACTGTAAGAGCATTGAAATCATCTGTACTGTCATTCATTTTCATTGGGTACAATTAGTGATGCTGTGCCCACGTGATTTCACTGTGGCTCAAACCCATTTTCTCTGCCCTGTGCTGAAAAAGTTTCAAGATCTTTGTTCAGACTTTATAATTTGATAGCTTCTTCTCATGGAGTGTCTGTATCAGGAATGCACTCCTCCTTTCCTGCTTCAGTCCCTTAGTACCCTATACCTATGAGTGAAGGAGCCTGTCTACCTCATGAAATACCTATCTCATCAAAAATCTGTCTGCTCATGGCTTGGACAGACATACACTCTGCTGGGTAAAACACTGGCTGGATGCCCAGGCCCAAAGAGTGCTGGTGAACGGAGTTAAATCCAGCTGGCAGCCAGTCACAAGTGATGTTCCCCAGGGCTCAGTACTGGGGCCTGTTCTCCTTCATATCTTTATCAATGGTCTGGATGAGGGGACTGAGGGCATGCTCTGTAAATCTGCAGATGACATTAAGCTGGGTTAGGAATGCTGACTAGATTGAGGGTAGAAAGGCTCTAGAGAAGGGTCTGGACAGGCTGGATTGGTGGGCTGAGGCCAAGTGTGACGTTCAACAAGGTCAAGTACCAGGAAGGATGTTACTAAGAAGTTCTTCACCATGAGGGTGGTGAGACACTGGAACAGGTTGCCCAGGGAGGTGGTGGAAGCCCCATCCCTGGCAGTTTTTAAGGCCAGGCTGGATGGAGCTGTGAGCAACCTGATCTAGTGGGAGATGTCCCTGCCTATGGCAGGGGGGCTGGGACTAGATGATCTTCCAGGTCCCTTTCAACCCTGTCAATTCTATGATTCTATGAAATAGTAATGATCAGGAAAATCCCAGCCTCTGCAGGTGGAAGTATGGAAAGTGTGGTTAAGCTTTACCTGTAGAATCTGATGCTTGCCTTATGGTGCCTATATATGTCAGACTGAATGCTGTTCCTAGTGCCCAAATTTGGGTATCAGTCGCACTTTAGGATGTGTTCAAAGAACCGTAGTTCTTTCTTGGAGGAAATGTCATGTGTTGTCTATTGGGGAATTATATGCTAGAATTGGGGGGAGAAATTAATACTCAGCATTGTTTAATTGTGGAGTCCGTGTATGTTCTTTACTCTCCCTACTGGGGAGTCCTAAGGCTGGATAGGAAAGAACTGGAATGTGGTTATTTTCTGTTGAAGTTGTGCAAGAATGGTGTAAAAAGCTTCCAGTCTGTTGAAACAGGCTTCCAGAAGCAGCCAAGCCTGTCCATCTGGATTTCCTACCCTGTTCCTTCATGTCAGTGGTTCTCTCCAATGTGTCCAGTAACAAATGCCACCTGCACAGGAGCAGAATTGATCTGGGGAGACGTTATTAATGGAGCAGGGATTAATATTTAAGATTATGATGTGGAACTGTTGATAAAACACATTAAAAAGTGACAACAGATTTTTGAAACCTACTGACCTACTGTTTGTTTGCTTGATTTAACTCTTTAAAGGTTTCTTTCTGTTCGATGCAAAATGTACTTTGAGCATTTATTGCGTATTCGATCTTGCTCTGGACAAATACTTTTTGATCACAAGAATGAGACACTTTCAATAACAGTAAGTTATTTTATATTACTTCAATTATAATGATATGTAATTAATTATAATGATATGTAATTAATTATAACATATATTTTTTTTAATATCAGCTACTAGAACGTGCATTGGAAAGCACAGAATAAATTGTTCTCCCCTCTCCAAAATGCAATAAGCTAAATTATAAGATGATGTTGAAAGCAAGCCAGAACAAAAGCCATATTGCTATTTCATATGGGCAGGTTGCTAGATGACATGATAAAAATTTGGACTGTTGTCTTATGCTGATAATAAGAATTCACTAGTAAATCACCTTAGTCTTTCAAAACTAATCATTCCTACTTCATTGGTAGGAAGTTTGCCTTTGTGTGATTGCATAATGGTTCTAGTTGTTATTTAAACAACCTTTAATGGCTGAAAGCTTCACTATTACTTTTTTTTTTCTGTGTCTCTTCTAAAAAGTTTTAATCGTGGGGGTGTTTACTTTTGTTTCTGCATGAGGCTTCAGTTTTAGGAATTGAGGGGACACTTGTATAGTGACAAAATAAATGTGTGTTCACACAGTCCTAATGAAAGAGGTGCAGCATATGTGTCTGAAGAACCCAAACTCAGTCCATAAAATGTCAACTCATTACCTGGCTTTATGTTTCTCATGCAAGAAATCTATTTTTACTTGAGGGTAAATTGAAAATGGAAAACAATGCCCCCTCCCCCAAAAGAAATCGCCAAAAGAATTTTCCTGCTTAGCTTGTTAAAAAGTGATGTAATTAATAAGATGAGAACATGCATAAGTTTGATCTTACAAGTGGCATACCACAAGGTGTCATCATAATCAGTGGAACCAAAGGACTGTTCTCAGTGTTTCATGTAATCTGGTTAAGAAACTGCTCCTCCTTTCAGCTCCTGCTGCAAATCAATTGCTTGCTTTTATTTCAAGGTTCAGCCTCGGGAGGAAGACAGAGCTGCCCTTAATGACGTGAGGTCCTTATCAGGAGGTGAACGTTCCTTCTCAACAGTTTGTTTCATTCTTTCTCTGTGGTCCGTTACTGAATCTCCTTTCAGATGTTTGGATGAATTTGATGTCTACATGGTATAGTTTAAACTTAAACTATATTTGCCATTCTGATTTGTATAAATTAGTGAAATAGTTGGGTTGTAATTTGTTAGATTACATTAGGGTTAGATTTTGAAGGACTATACTTAATTGGAGATAATTAAACCAAAAAAGGTCAAAACGCAAATCCCCCAAAACAAAACTTGTTAGGGATCTTGTTCACTTTGCTTAGTGACTTTTGAAGCTTGTTCTGTTTCTGAAGTTGGTACCCAGAGCTATGAGCAACTCTGTTACTTTACATGCTTAAACCTGTTGTTCAGCTCAAAAATAATAGGAATAGAACTTTATAATAGTTCCACAAGCAGTTGTTATTTTGTTTGTCACAGGTTTCCCATACATGTTGCTGTGACAGTCCTGGGCTTAGCCTGTGCTTTGGTTTCTAGCAATTCTGAGATCAATGTGGGGTTTTTTTTCAGTGTAGCCATTGAGTTCACTGTTGTGACTCAGAAATGTGCTTTGTACTTCATCTAGTATATACTTCATTTTTCAACAATGCTGAAGTGCAGAATAATAGTAAATATTAATGTTAGCTGAAAGTGATCAACTTCATCTTTATGAAGTTTCTCTGGATAGGCATTTAACCAAATTTTTGTTATGTTTTATTTCCTCCTTACTCATGTATACAGTGTGGTATAGTTTGAGAAAATAATCAGTTCTGTGAGACAGTGTTGATACTGGATTATTTCATTTTGCGTTCAGAGTCCCTCCCCTGTCAGTGTTCTATGTACTGGGAATGACAGATGTAGAGGGGGAAAAAGAGGTATGCCACAAAGGTGGTCAAGCTGTCAGTATTCAACTGACTTCCAAACCTTAGGTTTTGTTCTGCAGGTTAGTTGTGCAGAAGTTTGTCCATCTGTCCAGAAAAAGGTGGATACTCAGAACTGTAGGCCCTGCAGAAAACTTGATGTCATCTATTCCATAAATAATTCCACACAATTTGTCTTTCGACTGCTGTGCCAGTAAGTGGGACCTTACCGTCTCCACGTCCTGCAGTGACTTTTAGTGTAATCCTGGAGACTCACCACAAGAGGACTCCACAGGCATATTTGCAAGGGAGATACTTGCACGTGTGAGAACATACAGACTCGGGGCTTTGTTTAACCCCTGCCAGTAATAGCTTCCTGTTATACATCCTCAGGAAGCTTCATGCATAAGGTTGTGTTCGGAATAGTAGCAATAATAATACTAACAACAGTAATCATCATAATAAAAACAAGCTACATGCAGCTTTTAAATGCTCTCAGGTAATTTTGAGGCTGGATTTTATAGGAAACATTATTCTACTAAAATTTTATCTCAGCGTACCACTAAAGTAAGAAGTGCTATGTGTATATCAAAGGTGATGGGAAAACCTTGTGAGTAGGAGTGTGTGATTGTTCCAATAGTAGCTTTCTGTTGTCCTTGTATACTGAAAAAAATAGTTTAAGAACTTCCCAGACTATGATTTGTAGCTTTTAGAGTTTAACCCCAAGACTTCTCTGGCTTAGTTTTTATTAGACTTTTCTTTAGCTAACTTTTACTGTATGTGAATTAATTCTGCTAGTGTTTTCTGCTAAGATATTTTCTAATGAATGTATTCTTATGCATGTGTCCTAATTTGTGCAATAATAGGCCTGTGAAGTACGTGGTCAGTATCACTACCTGATAAATCTTTTGTCTGTAGGACATGGTTAACAGGAGGATTGCAATGGATATGATTCTAAAGGTGGCTGGCTCTCAGCAGTACCGACAGTTCATTTTGCTCACCCCACAGAGAATGAGGTAATATGGTTGTTTTATTTCCTGGTACAAGGATTACAAGGAATTTCAATTGCAAGGAATATAACTTGAAAAAAAAATTACATACGAGGAGAAAAATTTTGCTGTTTGTAGCAGTAGAACATCAACAATACGCAGTTCATTGCTGGTGGTTCTGGGAATTTAACAGGTTTTTCACTCTTCCCTACATAATGTCTCTTAATAGGGTAGTTCAGTGTGACTTCAATCAGCTTATCTTAAGTACAACAGCTTTTTCAAATGCTTTGTTGGGTAAAGTAGGCTCCTGGTAGCTTTCAGCCCTGTATCTCTCTCTCCCTTCCCAAAGAAACAAAAGACTTTCAATTTTTCCTATTAATGATACAGAACTTTAAAGATGTTTGTAATTTGAGTTGATGTTTTAAATTATTATTGTGATTATTATTTCTAATATCCCTGACCTAGAAACTGGTAACTTTGTTTTATTTTTTTGATCTATTAGCCCAAAATTCTTTAAAAACCTCCATGTAAGTCCCTGTTAAAGCCATGCCCAGCTCCAGGGGGCAGTCACTGTCTAACCCTATGCAGCCACTTCTCTCTTAGCCAAATGTAATCACTGAAGCCTACAGAGGATAATTAAGAAATCATAAAAATGAAGTTGATTTACTCTTAACTGTCTTCCCTTACTAAAATCTATAAAATTCATAGTAATGGTATTCTGTTGTTATTTAAGTAGTAATGCTTTGTGGGGATTTTCTGAAATTGCATTTAATAAACATGTAGGAATTTTCTGTATGGTTGCTGTTCAAAGTGTAATTGAAGTGCAGCTGGGCTTATGTTATATTTTGTTACATTATATATTCAGCAAACATTTAATTTAACAAAAACATGGAGGCACCTTCAGAAAAAATACATTTAGGATAATTGGTGGAGAAACTTGTAGAAATGTATGTCAGTAACTTTGCCCATTCGTAGTATGATGTGAGTGTATGTGTGTATAAATTGTGTACCACTTCAGGGTCTGCAGGTCAAATAGGGACCGTACCTGATCATTGTTCCATTTGGAGTTTCTCTTAGAAGTCCCTTTTTCTGTAACTAAGTCTAATGGCGTGGCTGGAATCAGCATGGTCTTTACCTCAAGCTTTTACTGAAATCTGAAGTATAAGTTCAGTGAAGCCAGAACTTCAACCAATGTTACTGTTTTTTAAAATGGTCAGATTAAAAAGATGGAGTTATTTAAAGGAAAATACATAATGGAAAGAAACAAATAGAAATACTAAAATTCATGGAGGAGAAACACTGTTTAAACAATGCATACTTTATTTTTAGTTTTCTGCCTGTGAGTTCCAGTATTCGAATCCTCCGAATGCAAGACCCTGAAAGAGGCCAAAAAACATTGAATTTCCAGAAGAAGAATGACCAAGAGGAGGATCAATAAGTATCTCTGTATATTAATATGGCATACTATTGAAGGTAAATGTATAATGGTACGTGTAAAGTTATATACTTCCTGATGCTGAAGAAGAAGATCTTTTGTTAGATACTCTCAGGAAAAGAAGGATTCTTGTAATTTTTTAACCTTTTTCAGAATTATTGTATATGTACAGACCAAGAATAAGCACAGTTTTGATGATGAGAAAATCCTGAATGTTGTTGATATTTTTAACTACCAGCTAGTACTTTTTTATCAGTTGTTCTGTCTCTTCTTCTGGAAAAGATGGGATATATTTTGTATAACTATGGAGTAATATTTTAATAAACAGTGAAAACTGATACTTCTAGTAATGTTTTAGTGTCTCTACAGCGTTAAGTTAAAAATGTTGATGTCTTCCTAGCTCTGTTTTATTTCATAAATGTGTGCTAATTAATACATGCAGTAAAATGCTTTTTTTTTTTTCCAGTGGAACTACAGCACCTGAATATGAGAAACTATTAGTGCTTACAGTGTATACTTTCATAATTAGAGAAGGGAAAAATTTATTTGCAGTATATCCTCTGGGCAGGAAAAAAAAAAGTGGTTTTATTTCTTCCTAAAGAGTTTGTGGGGAAGAGTTTGGGTTTCTTTGGACATGAGTTTCAAAAACCTGCCAAGTTGTGGTTTTATAAACATAGATTCGTAATTCCAATAAACTCAGTCCTCACAGAGTCTGAGTTTGCAGGTATAGAGACTAAGTCTGTAGATACTCATTCCATTATAACAAGCTAAAGTGACAGAAGCCCTTCCAATATAGAGGAATGAAGTAAGTTAAGAATTTTGGGAAATAATACAGTAACTTCTGTACAGCATTGTAGATCTGCATTTCGTTGGGTGTTCCCCCATTCCCCTCCCACCCTGCCCTGGGACTATACTAGAGCAGTTAAAATAAAATAAACCTGCTTTATTTGAATAAGACAAGCATTGGTTGGGAATAAGAGGGAGAAAGAAGAACAGGAGTTTTTAAACTGCCCCAAATTAACCTCTTCTCTCTTCTGTTCTCCTTTCTCCAGGAACTTGAAAGTGTTTGGAGTTCCTCAAAAACAAATCACTTTTTAGAGTTCAGCCATTAATCATAGTTTTGTCTGTCTTTTTATTTATTTTTTTAACCTTATGGGGATACAAAAGCCACTGAGGCTGTTTAGAGAACAGTTCTGCAGTTTTTACAGTTCTTTGTCAAATAGCAATTCCTCAATAAAACCTCATTGCAGTGTCAGTTTTCACTCAACTTCATAGCTGAACTTGGTTTTAGCCACTGTATTTTGTGTTCTTTAATGTTTAATTTTTACATAAGTACGTATTAAACTTGTCAGTATCTCTATGGAAGCTAGATGAGAATTGAAGGAAAAACACTGAGAAAGCTAGCTGCAGTTCTAGTGCATTCTAGCTGTAGGAGTTAAGTCTAGTGATCTTTTTAAAGGCTTCAGACGTTTAATTCAAAAGCCCAGGATAACAGCCAACCGACCCGTAGCAGCCTTGAGGAGGTTACTGACAAAACAACCAGGCCTTCTGTTGAGAGAAAAGCATTTATCTTCATTAGTACTTTATAACGAGTTGCATGAAGAAAAGAGCTTGAGGAAAATTCCCATTCTGTTATTCCTACTGAGCTAACACTCCAGCTTTCTCCCTATTTTTCTATAGACGTACTTGATATATTGGAGCAGTTGGCAACAATTCTGCTGTTTGGTTTAAAACAGTATATTGTATTTATTCTAATCTACCACTGTATTTGATGAAAAATGTGTGCCTGAATGTATAAGTATTTTATAAGCAACTGTTTTCACGGCAGAGGATTAATTCTGAATAAATTTTGCCAAAACACTCGTTTGGATGCACTTATTTTTGCAGTGATCCGACGCAGGTCTCAAAACTATCTTAGTCTCGGTCCTTTAAATACAGAGTTCACTATGCCAGCTGCCTCGGGGGAGAATTGCAGTGCTGATGTTGTATTTTGTAACTGTGTTTGAGCTGTTAGCCATTTTGGATGGCAATGAATTGCTTAAAGCCACATTGAAGTAACTGGAGCTTGTCCAGCTACATACATTTGAGGTGCAGGGAAATGTAGAGCGAGGTGCTGCTTCTCTAGTAAGTACATGTAAACCAAAGAGGCATAAATTCCCAGAGAACATTCAGCATTCTTTCTACAGGTAGTAATGGAAGCCTAAGTGCAAAGAATGGGCATATATTTCTCAGAAGTATGTAACATTTTCAGAGTGTGTGTTTTATTTTTTAAGTTACAGCCAAAAGTACAAAGTATTCCACTAATTTGATAAGGTTATCTGTGTAGTCAAGTCATAATCTGATATTAAAAAATGTTGAAATTTCTTTTGCTGTTTGTTTGGAATATGGAGAAACTTAAATATGAGAGGATGGCTGTGGTTGTGGCAACAAAACTGTTTCCCCCCACCACGTTTGTTACCAAAATGTGAAAAACTTCTGTTTTTCCTTCAATTTTAAGATGAGCTTCACTTTTCATATTTGAAAATACAGAGAATGATTTAGTTTGTGTCATGTTTTATTATTTGAATTTTAGCTATTAAGAGTACCGTCTCGTTTCTTCATAAGGTAAAGGAGAAATAGCAAACATGCAATTGTAAGATGCTCAGATTTTTTTTGTGTGTGTGTGTAATCCTGCAAGCAAACAACTGTTTAGAGCAACTGGGAAATGGATCTGCAACTTCTGCAGTCTGTTAGTTCCCGAGGCTTTCCCAGGGCTGTGCAGAACTTCTACTTGCCACAGGACAGAGATAAACTTGACACATACAATTAAGGAGGAAGGTGGGTTCTCTTCACTGTCCATTCTCAATCATCAAACTTGATAGTTAATTTATCACTAATGATTTATACAAACATGCCTGTTTATACTAAACCTGGGGTGGTTCAGTGTCATACACTAAGAGGAAAGATTCTGAAGGAGAGAAAAACATCATTAGGAGACTAAGTTTTGGGCAAGCAAATTAAGCTAGCTGGATGTCAAATACAGTTCAGGAGCTGCAGAAGCACAGGTCTAGCACAGGTCTATTAGGTATACTGTGAGATCTTAGCATGAGCAGCTTAGAGCCTAGCCAGCTGCTCTGCTGGTAAATACATGGACTACAACTTTTGGTTTCAGATATCTTGACTCTGCAAGTGAGTGAGTGCAAAGGAGTTTTCTTCATGCTCTCATAATGAAATATATATTTCCCAGTAGTACAGTGATAGATAATTAAAGAGAGATTTTTTTTTTTTTTTCTATTACTATGCTGAAGACATGAAATAAGAATTAGGGGAAAAGGTCAAATGTTATAAATTTATTTTGGGACATATATATTGCAACCTCTGTGGAAGCTTGAAAATTCAGGCAAAGATCAATACACTTCCAATAAAACCTTTAAACTTCCAATAAAACAATATTTTAAACATTATATATATATATTTATATATATCTTTAATTAAAGGGATCATTTTAGCAGGATTTTCTTTTTTTTCTATACTGCATTCCTCTGACATAGCTCTTTCCAGATTGAAGGGATGCAAATGAGGTAAGAATTAAGGCAAACCTAAAAGGCATGCAAATGAAGTACATTTATATCCACTGACAACACAAGCACGTGTGTGGATCAGACTTAAGAGCTGAGGAACTCTTCCCCTCTGTCTGTCCAGTACTACTTTACAGCAGAATGGTGACATGATTTATAATAAACAGTTAACATTACCATGGGAATTCAGTGTCACTAACATTACTCAGTCTAGGAGACACAGAGCTAGCATCAGTAAAACATGAACAATAAATAATATAATTCACTGCAGCACAAGACTGCTGCACAGGCTTCAGAGGAAGAGGGTTGTTATGAAATGACATTGCACACATCACGTTGTGGCAGTTTGTTTTTATAATATATACTTTTAAAATTCTTTAGCAAATGACATTCTCATGCACACAAGTGTTTCAAACACAAGAAGCAAGTCCATTTATAGGTAGTCCAAGCAAATTTTTGTGTGTGTGGAAATAGCTGCAAACTGAATGGAACATTAAACTTCTGTGCAGTCTATGACGCGTTGTACACGAGCTCATTTTTGAATGTCACACTGCAGGAGTAATACAATGGAAGGATCACTCTTTGCAGCTTCTTTGAATTCATCCAGTGTGATCTGGTCATCTTTGTTCTTATCCATCTTACTGAAGATCTTGTCTACCCGTTGCTCAGGCGTCAGACCATCCTCATTCATTTTCATCATTATCACAGTGCCCACCATTTTGTAGATGGCCTTTGGAAAGAAACCAAATGGAAAATTCAACATGAATTAACCTGCTTTCCTGATGTGATCAAATTCTGGAAAGATATTCAACAAAAAAAATAATTCCCTAAAGATTTTGTTTGCCTTTTTTTCTTAGGACCTGATGTCCATATACTTAAAACATGGAAGAATGTGGTTTACTTACTTTAGAAGTAGATTTATTTGAGTTGTTGCATTTTACATCTTAGAATTAAATTTATTTGGCTATTTCATAGTGTGAAGCTGTTGCAACCTATTCTCTGGAACAACTGTTTATTTGCCTTCTATTCACTCCATTGAAATATTTCATATACATTCTGAATAATCAAGTTTTAGAAGTCATCTTTTAATAGCTTCCTCTGTGTACACGTGAGCAAAATCTGGTATTAACTACTGTGGCGAGCAGCTGGCAGATGATGAGGGTGGGCAACTTTATCCTTCCTATTAGATGCTGTGGACATCTTAAAGCCCATCTGTGAGAGCTCACTTAAAATCAGTGTGTTGTTATCCCTGTAAATTTCTGTAATCGCCTAAAGTTAATCTCCAGTAAGGTCTCAGCTACTTGAGCTACAAACCAATAATTTCATGGGTGTCAAAAGTGATTTTGAGATGGGCTTTGTAAATCCTTTGCTGTGTTTGGTCTTTAAAATCTCATATGCACATATGTATTCTCTGCAGTTCTCAAAGATAACGTCTCTTAAAACGTTAGTGTGTGTGCACCATTTAGGCATGAGTCAGTAGAGGATGAATGTGTCTTATATACACTTCTAATGACACAGTACAGCCCCCTGCATGCTTAAAATCTAAAGGGTATGCAAACAAATAATAAAATTTTATTGAAGTTCTAACATTATTTTTAAGTGTCATATTGATCTCACCTCTATAATTTCCAGCATTTCCACTCTTGTAATTTTACCATCACCATCCAAGTCGTACATGTTGAAGGCCCAGTTTAGCTTTTGCTCAAAACTGCCTCGAGAGGTGATGGACAGAGCACAAATGAACTCTCTGAAGTCGATGGTCCCGTCTCCGTTTTTATCAAAGGTTCGGAAGGCGTGCTGGGCAAACTTGGAAGCATCTCCATAGGGGAAGAACTGCAAAATAAAATAATAACCAGAACCGTGAGCAGCACAAGGGAGCAAGCAAAATACTGAAGTGGGGCATTTATGAAGAGCTGCTGGTGGGCTTGGTGTGAAAGTGAAGATACGCTGCATAAGCTTCCATAACAGTTACAGTGTAATGATTATTAAACCTTATTTCTACAAAAGTCTCTTAGCTTTCTGCAAACTATATTACAAATATGCTTACTTAACACTAATGTAAAGGTAAATTAACTAGATGAACCTTAAAATGAAGCTGGGTGCAAATGGGAGATGATTGCACGTAATATTCTGACTACAAAAGACAGCAACTAAAGTGAATTTTAACTGTATTTTTTTTTTCTGCCTGGCTGAAACCAGCCTTTGACATGTTTTAACCAAGTAGATGTGTGGGTTTGTTGTTATATAGCTTCATTTATTTAAAAAAAAAAATAATTCCAGAGATAGCATAAAACACTCAGGAACGTATGTTCTCTTCTGCCAACCAGCACAGTACGAGTACATGAGAACTGAGTTTCAGTTAAACAATCCAGAGCAATGCTCATCATGTTTAACATCCATTGGTGAATGCTGCAACTGTCTGTAGCTTAACAAAGCATTTTAAATGACCATAACATGTGGATTTGCACAGTACAAGTACATGAGAACTGAGTTTCAGTTGAACAATCCAGAGCAATGCTCGTCATGTTTAACATCCATTATTGGTGAATGCTGCAACTGTCTGTAGCTTAACAAAGCATTTTAAATGACCATAACATGTGGATTTTTAGCTGATATTCCCTTGGGAAGAAAGACATCTAAGACAGTAGTTCCATATGACTCAAAAAACCCACCCGTTTTAGGAAAGGGAGTCTGAAACCGGCACTGAACTCCCATGGCAGTGCAGGGACTGTACACAAATCATGTTTCTCTGTTCCAAGCACTATTTCATGGAGGTTTCCATGCTCCTAAAATATAAATGTGCATTACTTGCAATCTAAGAGCCATGCAATCTTCTGCTTTTTTAAAAATTCCAATTCTTAGTACGTATTGCACTTAATGCAAGTTTGAAGGAAAAACTTCAGTGGCAGCCAAGAAAGTGGAGTTACAATTTTCCATTTCCCTGTCCAGAGCTTTCACTGCAGGCTGATGGTTGCTGTGGTCAGCTGTGAAAGCTCTTAAATGATACAGTCAAATTTTATGAGGAATCTTAAGGATCTCACAGCACATACAGAAAGGGCACTACTCACTGACTAAATACAGATGTAGACCAGGGTAAGCTTTTGCTGCTTTTTCTTTGAGGCCAAATGACCATTTGGATACCATATCTTGCCCTAAAGATACAAAACTTAGTGCACAGTCAGCTGCTTGCACAATGTCAGGTGCCACTGCTGCATTGCCAAAGGGGTTCTAACTTCAAAGTTTCCTTTAAATTTACTGTGTTCTCTGATACCAACTTTTCAGACAGAATTCTGAATAACCTTTGCATTGGTGAATGGGAGAGTCATTGTAAAATCTTCCTCTTCTCCTCAGGAGAGCAGCTTAAGTTTTGCCCACGTCTGTTCAGAATATTGCCCTGTTGTGAATTACCTCCAAAGGGAGTCAAACAGCTGTGTTACACCAGAAAAGGGATCAAAACCATCCATCTCACTTCCCAAGTATCTTTTGGGAAAGATTCTTGAATGTGATGTGAAGGCATTGAGAGAAAGGGATGCTCGACCCATTCCAGTGGTATTTTGTTCGGGTTAACAGTGCTGTTAAAGTTGTGATTTTGTTGTTTGGCTATGTATGGGTCAGCATCCACCCACAGCTTCCACACCCCTTCTCCAATAGCTGAAAGAGGCATTTAGTGTTGTCTCCTGAAAATATGACTTGCGTGCCTCTACTCAACCCAACCTCTGTTTGTTTTGATAATCCAAACTGATGGAGCTGTAAATACCTCAAGGTACTGCTGCAGCTCTTTCTACTTTATGGTTTTTGACCTTTAAAAAATTTTAGACTCTGCAATGGTAAGCATGATTTGGCTCGTAAACAGATACAAAGACACATGGATTCTCTGATACAATGCAGGACTGCCCTAACTGCAGCTACCAGACCTTGCTAATTGCTCTTCTAATGCAAACAAACCTTTTGTCAAAGCAAACAGAGCTCCCTCCCTGGGAAGGCTCTTTGGGCTTACAGTCCCATAAGTTACGTGAACGTTACTCAAAACCTGCATTTTTTTTGAAGTTATTGAAAAATCTTGTTTGCTGCTTCCACTTCTTCATGATCTACCATTCTCCCAACTTCTGTATCAACTGCAGATCTTAACATAGGTGATATTTAATTTTCTGTGTGTGTATTCCTAGATGCATGCTTCTGCAGAACATCAGTGGGAAGTTAAGAGGTGCCTCTTGTGCCCTGCAGCTCCACTGGGACTCCACTACTTGTCCCATTCTGTTCCCAAGAGCTTGCTGGCTGTTCAAAGCTGAAAAGACAAATCTCTTGCTCTTCAAATCTGTGCTGATCACTGTCCTGTGATGTACCTGCTGCAAAACAAAATACTTGCAAATTTTTATAGGTGTTTCTGTTCACAGCTGACTATTGCTGAGGATGCTGCCTGATCAGTATTTCTGTGTCTGTCACTCCACGGGCTCTGTAACAGAAAGTGTCCAGATGGAAATGGATTGTCCTTTTCATGGCCCAGGGAACCAAAACACATTCAGGTGCTTTCTCCTATAATTCAGCCTGAGAAATAGCAGAAATGGACTGGTGGCACCAAAGAACTCAACTGTAATGAAGAAGCTCCTCTAGAAAACTGGTTAAGAAGTGGCAAGCACCCAAAAATATTCAAGAGCCCAAGAGCAAAGTGAAGGATCAGTGGCTGGAGATGGCTGAAGACCATTTCTAGATTATTCTTGGGGAAACATGAACACATCATTCAGCCTCCCACTAGAGAGGCATAAGCGAGCTGTGACTGCCTCTTGGGTCATGCCACTCACCTCACACAGCAGAGAGAAAAGCATCCATTTAATTTTTTCATCACAGACGAGACAATGAGTTATTTTCTGAAATGAGGAAGGCAGTGGCACTGCTCAAAGCTAAACCTTGGCATTTGCAGCCTAGTAAGGTGAACAAATGGAACTGATGCCTTTTTTTTTTTTCCCTTTCTGTTTGCCTCCCTCGAGGGAGCAACTGCAGCAGAAGGTCCTTTAGGGACCAAAGGCACTCTTCTCCATGCTGTACCTGTACGTATTATTTTTAGCTCAGAACGACTAAAAAACATTGTCAAAACTTGTTTAAAAACCTACTTGAAGAATTCCATTGGCCTGTTTTGAAATGATTCATAAATAAGAAATGGTATAAAAGAAAACCCAAACAATTACAGAGCAAAAGAAGCCAGCTCTGCTAAAACACTGTTTGTCTATTAAAATCCAGTGAGGCCTTAGCAAGGTGTAAAGGCAGAGCCTTTAACTACTTCAAGGCTAGTCTGAGCCAACTGGCAATGGGAAACGGGGATCTCTGGAAGACAAACAAACGCCCATTTTTGGCAGGGCTAATATGAGGAGGGCAGATTGGTCCAGAGAATGCTTGAGAAACAAGTGAATGAACAGAACTGGGTTTTTCAGAGGCTACAGCCACTGGGCAAGCCAGTACCTTCAGCCTTCTCTGCAAACCCTTGTCCAGCTGATCAATCTACATATGAAAGCAACTAGTTCCACTCTGCTGTGATGGTAGCACTGCAAAGTGCACTCTACACACCAGCATTGCCTCCTGCTTTACCCTTTGCATCCAAAAATCAAGACAAACTATACCTTCTTAGTCTTTTTACAGTCATTAGTTCCATGAGTGACAAAACACTGGTCACTCCTTTGTTTCTGCTCCTCTCATTTCTTGCTTGACCTGTGCATTTCCAGACCAGTTAGATCAACATGCTGGGGTGTGAAGGAAGTGTTATCTCTACAGATTATCTTGCAGATTCTTAGCTCCAAAAGTGTTACTGGAAACCTTCCTGGTATATGAGGGGGCCTTCAAAGGATTCTGGAATAAGAATAACTAGTGAATAGCACCTGCAAATTGTACTTATTTAAGTCTTGGGGAAACTGCTAAAATAACTAGAAATAACTCTGCTTGGCTGCAGGTGCCTTAGCATCTTTCAAGTGATGGCATTCACAGACAACTGTCTGACCAACTATATTCACATTGGCTTTGAGCAGGTGTTACTGAAAAAAAGTATAATGCATATGGCAAAAACAAAGCCAAAAGAACAAACCCAAGGCAATAAACTTCCCCTTTCCTCAGTGATGGGGGGTGTGTGTCCAAAAATGAAGGGTCTCTCCTTCATTGGTAGGGCCAGGTGGAGCAAATCTATAGATTGGCCTGAGTGGTGCTTTGCTTTTCATGCAATATTTTATCATGTTTGAGATGCATTTTTATAAAAAGGGAAATTCTTCTATAAAATGAAGGAAGTCAGAACTAGAGTAGTGTACAGAAAGCCAAACATGCTGCCTACACGTGCCCAGAAGACTCAGTCACTGATGGAAGGTCACAGCTCCCAGCACCGAGGTGGGAGCTGGAACATGGAACGGGAGGCAGGTGAGCAGGAGGGGGTACAGGGCTTCTGCATCCTGGACTTGGAGAACATGAAAGCAGCAGCCACTGACTCCCCCAGGATATGAGACCCCCTGTTTGGGGCTTAGCACTGCCACACGCTCCAAGGGCTGAGGCAGCAAAGAGGAACCAGCAGGGCACAGCCAGTGCACCAGAACCATTGGGGCCAGAAAACAGGAACAAGCCTAGCAGTTCACTCCCATGGGAAAACCTTCTGCAGCTGATGCTGTTACACTTCAGGAAGGAGTCAGTTACCCTTTTCATCTACTTTGTTAGGGTCTTCTTCCCTCCTTTTAATAATTCTGCCAGCATCCAGTTCACCACTGTAAGCAGAGAACATGAGCGCTTTGAGAACCAGGAAGTTTGGCAGCAGGTAGAAGCTCAGATGGGTATTTTTTTACAGCAAAGCTCTTAAATTTGAACCC